AGGACCTGTTCTCCCCTGCAGAGGAAGGCAGGACGCGCTCCAACGGAGCAAAGCTCCGGGAACCAGGCTTCCATTTGGATGCCAGGAAGCACTTCCTGACAGATAGGACCCTGAGGGTGTGGAATGGGCTTCCATGGGAGGTCATTGAGGCCCCATTGGTGAGGGTGTTGAATGATAGGCTGGACATGCACTTGGTGGGCATGTCATGAGCGGAGCTGGCTGGAGCCGGAGGTCAGACTAGATGGCCCGGGAGACCCCTTCTGACTCGCTCTGTTTCTATGTGTGTGTGCAAGCCTCCGTGTTTTTATAACTAGACATATTTATTTGCTCAAAGCCCATTTGCTTGGTTTTGGTTCCTGTTTTGTCACACAGGAATTACAGCACACACATTCTTGTTTGTAAGCCTGTGTGTATGCAGGTAAGGCATATTGTTTTGGTCTTCTTTGAAAGATATTTTCTACTTTCACCCCTTTGTTCCAGTTTGTTCATTTTGAGTGTGTTTTGCTGGGAAATGTTTTCTTTTGGTTGGGTTTGCACTAGAGTGAAGATTATAATAAATTCCCCTTCTTTGTCCCTTTGTCATACGTATGGTAGAGCCCTGCTTGCAATCCCTGCCTGCTCCCAGGCATCTCCAGGCAGAGCTGAGAAAGAAGTCCTGGAAAGCAGCTGTCCGTCAGCACAGACAGTCCTGAGCTAGCTGGGCAAGGACTCCTTGTTCTTGTTTAAATCAGCTCTTTATTCAGCACCATGAGGACTAGGAGCTTGTTTTGTCTTCCGAAAAGGAATATAGCTCATCTGCTTTGCACTGAAAGGATCTCAGATTGAATGCTTAATATCTCTGGCTCTCCCCCCCCATCCTTGTAATCATAATGTTTCATTGATTCATTGTAATCAATGTATTAATCAATCAATGTATCTTAATTCAGCAGCATATAAATTTGAAAAGCAAACAGCTAAATTTCAGGTTTTGCTTCTCTTCCCCTTCTCTTCTTGCCATCCAAAAATCCAAAATCTGCTTTTCTGTTGTCTTGGAAGCGGGGACCTAGGCAGAAAGCAGGCCCCAGTCTGCAGTTGGGGCCTGTGACTGCAACAGCTGCTTGGCCACCGGCCCCACAACCTCCCCTGACATTGGCTGCAGAAAAAGGCCCCTGCATAGCACTCCACCACGTGCCTTCAGTGGGAAGGCGCTGCTCCCTGCTTGGTGGCTTAGGTGTTAGACTGCTCCTCTGCTGGACCAGTGCTCAAAGCACTTTCATTAATTTGAAAATGCTTCCCTTAAGGCACAAGCTCTTTGGCACCCAGATTTTACAGCATTGTCTTTCGGTGCTCTCCCTGCACCCAGCACCTCTCCCCTTCTCCCCCTCTGTACGCATGTATGCCTTTTTAGTCTGCAGCCCTCTTATTCTTCCTCCCTGGTCTTTCTTTTTGCCTGCTTTCTCTCTCTCTCTCTCTCAAACGGCAGAAAGGGCGCCCAAGCTGTGGGTTTGTGTGCTCTTTGCAGAGCACTTCATGCCAGTTCTACCTGCTCCAGGGTCACACTTGGCAGGAGACCCTTCTGGGAGTGGTGCCTTTCCTGATGCCAGGGAATACCGTGGTACCTCAGCTCACAAACGCCTCAGTTCATGATCAAATTGGGTCACAAACAAAAATTTCTGAAAGATTTTGCCACAGTTCTCAAACTCCACATTGGGTGGTGACCACAGCCATCTCCCCCCGCCCCAAGTGGGGAGATGGCTGCGATTGTGCTGGGGGTTGGGGGAGATGGCCAAGATCATGTCCGTCTTTCCTGCATGAGCGCAACTGCGATCTCGGCCATCTCCCCCACTCCCAGCACAATTGTGCCCCTCTCCCCACTGAGCACGCCTGCATTTGCACCCGTCTCCCCCCCCCCCCCGTGCACTGGGATGACGGGCGCGATTGTGCTCATGCTGCGGGGACAGGGAGATGGCTGTGCTCATGCTCGGGGGTGGAGGGGGGAGATGGCCGTGATCTTTTCTGTTCTTTGTCACTTTGCTTCACATTTTTCTGATTAAAAAAATAGTTACAGAACAGATTAACTTTATTTACATTGACCCTTATGGGGAAATTTGACTTTGCTCATGACCAATTTGGGTCACGACCAGAGTGCTGGAATGGATTAAGTTTGCGAGCCAAGGTACCAGTGTAATTCACTGAGCTATACCTTCTTGAACCAAAAAGTTGGGCTGGGGAGAGAGTGGAGTTTGGAAGTTCCCTGGCTATATTTTCACCGCTTAAGAGCCAGGCAACAGTAAAAGGTAAAACTTTGTGGTGAAGGAGAAGGTGGTGTTTTTTTTAAAAAAATGAGTTTCTGAAACTCAGGATTAAAGTAGATCCTGTTAAAACTGTAGGAAGCGCTGGCAAAAAGTGCACCTTTCCGCAAGTGTTTTCCTTGAAGCAGCTGATCTTCCTTCGGCAAGTCCAGACACCCGTGCAGGCCCACACCTCCCTTTGCCATGTGTTAGGCAGGCCTAACCAGCAACCCTGGGCAGAATGGCAAAGCCTCCGAAAGCCAGCAGCAAGGGCTGGGTAGGTGGAGGTCTGACAGGTGGGCTAGCCTTGCCAGCCTAGCACCATCTGCGCAGGTCCAGCTACAAATCTCATGATCCCCAGAGGCCATACCAGATGGGGATGGTGGGAATTCCAGTCCATTCTGTCCGTGGGTCTCTGGGTTAGGGAGGGATGGGTGCACTGGTGCAGGACCTGGACAGCCCCTGGGCCAGTGTGGTTGACACAGGCTGGCGGCGGCGGCAGCTTCCAGCCTTTCAAGTGGGGGGCTGTCCCAGGCAGAACGGGAGTTGCCAGGAGTTACAACTGAAGCCCTCACTGTGCGAAGTTTCTTTGCCCCTTCCCCGGAAAAGTTGCATAAGAGTCCAGTCCATGTTCTGCATAGAGGGCTGATTTAATTAGGAGCAGAAGAGACCAGCCTGCACAAAATCAAACCCTTGTCCTGTCGGGTTCAGCTGTTCTCCAGTGTCCTGGGGAATGGGGGTGTCTTTCTGGAGATGCTGGGCATTGAACCTGGAACTCTGCATCCAAAACAGAGGCTCTGATGCTGAGCTGCCTTCTAACAAGAAAAAAACAAGCAACAGACTGAGAGAAATGAAAATGGTCTTCATGGGGCTTCCTAGTAACACCAGTGGAGGTGCCAGCCAGTCCTCACTAAAGAGGGCATTCCAATCCTGTGGTGGCACCACCAAAAAGGCCCTGCCTCTTGTTCCCCCATCTTGCTTTGTGGGGTGGATGCCTCCACAGTGTGCACACGTGTTTGGGAGGCAGTTGTTCAGCCTGCAGGAGAGTGTGGTTGGAGCATGGGAACAGTGCACTGAAATTCCAGCTCATCACATTGAGCCTTGGGAAGGGAAGATGGAAGGGAGATGTGGCAGCGCTCCAAGTACTGGAAAGGCTCCCACAGAAAGGAGGGCCGAGATCTCCTCTCAGTCCTCCTGGAAGGCGGGACACAGAATGACGGGCTCAGGTTAGAAACATAGAACAGCGTGAGTCAGAAGGGCTCTCCCGGGCCATCTAGTCTGACCTCAAGCCAGGTTGCAGCCAGCCATCGCAAACATTTCTGACTGTTACAGAAGTGCAACAACAGAACCAATGATCTCCACACTAGAGCCATTCAGGATACAACTGGACAGCCATGTGAGAGGGATGTTTTGACTTGGAGCCCTGCAAGGTTGGACCCTCAGCCCTCGGGCCCCATCCAACTGTACTATTCGGTGATTCTGTGTCGAGCAGAGTCCCTTCTCCTTCCGTGCTTCCTCGCCGTATGGACGCTATATTGGCTCTTCTTTCATTGTCACATTTACAGATGGGTGTTCTTGGCAGATCAGAATGTGCTGATTCTTTGCATTTCATGCTTCTGAAGGGTAGATCCTATGCTTAGTTAGGTTTTGATTAACCATGTAATCAGTTGTATTTAGTATTTCACGGCATTATATGTATGACCCACTCCTATAATAAAAAAAAGTCCCCTGAAGTGGCTTATAATATATAAACAGTCCCTTCCTTGGCAGACTTGAATTCTAAATAGACATAACACAAAAGGAAAAAGGGACAAGTAGGGAAGAGGAAAATAATGCTCTTTTTCCGAAGGCTCAAGTTTCACCTGTTGAGACAGCGCAGAGCTGTTCTTTTTGGGTGCTTTCTGCTCTTTTTAAATAAAAACATTACACTGTTGTCCAGTTGAATGTCAGGTGAATACCATCAGGGTTGTGCTTTCTCTTGTATTTGCAGTTGGATGCTGGCTGGGGGTGAGGGAAGCCCTTGTGAGATCCATGCCCAGAGGGCACTTGATTGTAGAAAGGCTGCTGTCACCTCCATGTAAAGGCTTGCTCTCTTTTCAGGAGGAGCGTGAGAAGCGCCGCCTAGAGCAGGTGGAGCGCAAAAAGGAGCTCCAGCGTCTCCTGGAAGAGGAAGATGCGAAGCTGAGGGGGAAGCAGCCCAAGCCACTAGTCTCAAACAAGGTTACCCGTGCACAGATCGATGAGGTGCTCCGGAAAGAGCAGAAGGAGAACAGCGATGCTGGTGAGGGCAAAAAACAAACATCATCCTTGCACATAGCCAGCTAGCATCTCAAGGGGCAGGCTCAGGTAAAATCCTCCTCCTTGACATGCTAGATTTCCATCTGCGGGGGATTTGAATGCTCATCCATTTAAAAAAAGCCCCTGGTGAGAGCATTCATAGCTTTCTGTGTATGGAGATATATTGTGGGGGGGGGGGTTCCCTAATGAAAAGCACTCAGTTGTTTGGAATCTCCCCATTCAGCCTAAAGTGTTGGGGTGATCTCCTCACTGAGAACTGGGCTCCGATTTCCTAAACGAAGAACTAACGGAACTTTGTGTGCATCTCTGTGTGGAACAAGGAATGATGCTCCATGGAAAGCGGAGCTCTTTAGACAAGTGCTGCTGCCATTCAGCAGCTCACTGGGTTGATCTCCCTCGGGATTGACTTTGTGCTGCCCCCAACACCTGTCTGTTGTGTTTGCCCCCCTTTTCCAGTAGAGAAGCAGAAGAGTCACCTTGACCTGCCTCTGGAAGAAAATGTGAACCGCCGAGTCCTGGAGGAAGGTGCTGTGGAGGCTCGAACCATTGAAGATGCAATTGCCGTGCTCAGGTGTGCCAACCAAGGCTGGCTGGGCAGGTGCTAGCTAGGTCACCTGGGTGGGGTGGTCTGCTCACCTAACATTCAATGTGCAGAGGGCCATTCAGTGCTGAAGATCTTGGGGAGGGGCTTTGCAGGGCTCTTAGCTGGGCCCAGCTGGAAAGCAGTGTGGGGAAGGAGTGGGTGTTGCCACACACGTTGCTGAAGAGGGAAAGTAAATGCCAGTGAACTTCTAGACTCTGTGGCCATGTGAGGAACTGCACGGAAGCCATGCTGCTTTCAGTTCCAGGGAAGAACTGAGCTTCAAGTAGATCTGGGTCTCCTCTCCTATTGCAGACTTCCCCAAGGGAGGGAGTGATTGCCTCTGACTAGTGCCAGCGTGTGGAAGACGGTTCTGGCCTTTGGCTCCTGCCCTTCTGCCTCCCCCAGGGAGGTCCTGATTCCAGGCTGCGGCTTTTGGTTGTGCTGCCCGGCACCTGGTGGGCTCTGTTCCCACAGGGAGGGGAAGCCGTAGCTCAGCAGGGGAGCAGCCCTGTTCGGCCTTCCGCATCTGCGGGCCAGGGCCGGGAAGGGTCTGTGCCTGGAAACCTTGGCGAGCTGCTCCGAGCTGGGGCCCCAACAGTCCTGCGTTGGATGGATCGGGGGCTTCCTTGGGCACAGCAGCTTCCTCGGCTCCTAAGTGCTCTCAGCCTAAATGCCTTGACTCCAGAGGGGTGCTGGGTTGGCAGCTTTGCCGCCTTAATACCTGTGGCAAAGGTGGGTCCTTTCTCAGAGCCAGAACGTTTCTCTAAACCACTTCCTGATTTCAGAAAGCAAGTTTGGTTTAAATACAGCATTGGTTAGAATTATGCAGCTTTAATTCTCTGTTAAAATGCCACCAGCTGGAAAGGGCAATGGCATGGAGGGAGTGCATTCTGCGTTGGAGAGCCTCAGGCCTGCAGGAGGGCCAGGCGTGCCAGAAGTTTTAGGCCACTGCTCCTCGTCTGAAATGGCACAGGATTGTGTCATAAAATGCCGTGCTGTTACCCGTCCTGAGACACATGCAAACAGTTAAAAATCTTAAATGCAGTACAAATCACCAAACAGCACAGGAATCTGCAACCACCTTCCTTGGTTCTCCAGTCTTTGCTTTGCAAGGCAGAGCTTTGGGTGGGCCCTAGGTTGGGCTGTGGGTCCCAGAAGGTCTGACCTCCCCTTGCCCGCTGCTTCCTCTTCCAGCCTAACGGATGACCTGGACCGGCACCCAGAGCGCCGGATGAAGGCGGCTTTCTTGGCCTTTGAAGAGGTCAACCTGCCCCGGCTGAAGCAGGAGAACCCGAACATGCGCCTCTCCCAGCTCAAGCAGCTTCTGAAGAAGGAGTGGATGAAGTCCTCCGAGAACCCCATGAACCAGCGGCACACGGCCTACAACAGCCATAAATGAGACTGGAGCGCCCCCCTTTTCCCACCCCCAACATCCACAGGCTGGGTACAGCACGCATCTGACAACCTTCTGCTGTGAGCTGCCTTTCAAAGAGCGTGCAGATAATTCCTGTCCTCCCCCTCACAGTTTGCTTTGATGACGTCCTACCCACTCATTTGGACTCTTTCCTTCCCTGCTCACATCCTGATCTTCCAGGAGTTCAAAACTGCTCCAGTGCAGCTCAGCCACACCTGCCCTGCTCAGGATGCTGCTTCCTCTCAGAGCTAGGTGGGCTTACCTGGTAGCAGTCATTGTATCTAGAAAAGATGCTGCCATCGCCTGTCCTCTCAGGGTCTGGTGAATTGCCAAGGACACTTTGCCACATGAAATACGCCCCTGCTTTTCCATGGTGCTGCTCCCTCCAATCCCAACTGTGACACTTTCCCTCAGGTCAGGATTGGGCAGAAGGGGCTTCCCCAGGCATTTGAACTTCAGTTCTCAAAGTCCTGCTAGCATGGCCAACGGTTAGGGATGCCGGGTGTGGAAGTCCCTAATGGTTTTTCTGCCCACCCTTGTCCTAGGTCACCTGCATCCTTGGGTGATAAAACTGTACCTTGTGGCAGCATACCTTGCTGAGTTCTCTCCTGTCTAAAAAGAAAGGAAACGGCCACATGCGGAAAGAGAAGCTTGCTGGAGAGAACACCTGGCTGGAACGCTTCCAGCCACCGTGGCTTTTCTGTCTGCAGTCTGCCACAGGAAGGGAGCTGCTGTCCCAAGCAAGGGTGGCCCTGTGCCCGTTCCGAGCACTTGGCCCTTCGAAAGGGTGCAGGCAATGTGGCTGGAAGGGCTTGGTCCCTCAGACCTGTCCTCCAGCACCTCTTTGCCTCTCCCGCTCCCTGACCTGAGGTTCGTGTGCCACTGGGCTGTTTCCCCAGCGTTTTGTGACCTCGTGCCCAGGGCTGGTTCCTCCCACTCTCGCCTCAGCCCTTATGGGCGAGTTCCCCACCTGTCTTAGCAGGCCCTCATCTGCATTGACCCCTGCGGTGCCATCCATTCTTGTGCCAGACGCCCCTTCTTTGCACAGGCCAGGGCGGTGCTGCTTTCATCTCCTGGTGTCAGTGGGTGCTTTTCTTCATCCACCCCCTTGCATCAGTGATGGCTTGACTCGTTCAGGGGCTCCCTCCTGCTGCAGCTTGAGGGGGCAGGGCAGTACCATTCCCTTGTGGGGGCCCACAGCCCAGTGACAGAGGTGAGGTGGGACCCCACCTCTCACATGAACTGCTGCGGATGTTCGTGCAAAGCACTCGGCTCGATCTTCAGCACATTTTGCTGCTGCCAGCAGCAAAGCTTCTGGCGAGTGGGCCCCAAACACTTCCTTTCCCCATCAGGCTCCCCTCCCATCCAGCATGTTTTTGAGTAAAAGGTCTGCTGCTCTGTTTTCTTTTCTAACCTCTGCCTGGGGCCAGGAAGTAACGTCATGTTGCCCTCAGTGCCCCTGGGCTTTGATGAGCAGAGGCAAAACACTCCCAGGAAGGGCAGAGATGGTGACAGAGTTTCGTGGGCTCCTACCCAGAACACACCACTGTTCCTTCCCATGAACACTCCCAGAGGGCAGCCCTGGCAGGGCTTTTGACTGCTCACCTCTTGGCCAGCTCCTTCCTACCAGTTTCTCGGTCTCGCCCATCCACAGAGCACCAGCAGCTTCTCTGGTGAATGCCGCAGTTTCCAGGCACCAGGCTTCCTGGAGGGGGGAGCTTTCTACTCCAGGGGGAGATCACATGCTGATGTTGGTCAACAAATCTTTAGTTTCAGGCCCACCTCCTGTTATTTTCCATTCTTAGCACTGGGCAGGCATGTGCTGGACTATTCAAGGGTGAACTAAAGGTACCCAAGAGACCGGTCATCAAACATGGGAAGGTTCGGAGGAAAGGGGACAGCAGCCCTTCCTGCTCTGTCTGCCTTGCCACTCCCCCACCCTGCATGCTGGGACAATGGAAGAGTTTTCTCCTCCTCACAGGAGCCCCCCTCCCCATAGAGGAAACTGTGTGCCCTCATCCTGTTGACTGCCCAGCTGCAGCTGGTGAAGGCACAGCCTGGCAAGGAGATGAGCGGACACACTGTGTGTAAGACGTTTCCTGTGGGGAAGTCAGGGCTGTTAGGTGACTCCTGTGTTGTCAGCTGTGGAGTACTGGAATTGCACCTTGGGAAGCTGGAGCAGTGACGGTCTTGTGTACGCCGAACCCCCAGTTTGGTGTGTCAACTCTTCTCAGAATTGTTTCCCCTTGAGGCTACTCGGCAGCCTCACTCGCCCTCCTTTTGCCTTGGATTCCTTGTCTCAGAGTGATTCCACATGGCTCTAAGCAATGAACCGCCCTCCTACCCCTGCTCCACACGCCTAGAAAGGTCCCTGCCTTCTCTTTCTGAAGGGAAAGCCCAGCATTTTCCAAAATACATGCACGCACACACCCCTTGACCCAACCTGTAAACCAGCTAAGGGAATAAAAGTCTCCGAACTGTGCCATTGGCATCTTTGTGATGTTTTTCTGCAAGCAGGCATAATAGTTTTGAGTGCAAGTGTGGAAGAATACAGGCACAGAGGTCTCTCGCCCTCTTCTGGCAGTAGTCCTTCCCTTTATTGTGTGGGAGCAGAACTGGGTGGTGTGTCTTCTGGCTGACATCCTTGTGTGACAAAGGGGATCCACCCTGCTACTGCATATGCTGGCACACCAGTTTCCAGAGCAGATCTACCGTCTTTAGAAGCTTGTGTGTTTAAAATGCCCTAGAACATGGGTCCTCAATTACGGCCCGTGGGCTAGATCTGGCCCGCCATCGCTGCTGCGCGTGTGCCGAGGCACCAGCTTGCTTACAGGGAGATCGTTTTGGACTCATTGGGAGAAAAGGACCTCTGCACACGAGCCCCTGCCTTTTTGCGTGTGTGCATGCACCCCCCCATCCAGCCTGCACCCCCCACCCGCACCGCCTTGGCAGTCCATGCCCATCCCTGGCACCTTTCAACTGGCCCCCTATTCAAAAGGTTTGAGGACCCCTGCCCTAGAAGTTCGTGCTTAACTTGAACAATAGCAGCACTTAAATGCTTAATTTTATTTCAGTAACTGGATAGCCAGCCTGAAGGGGCAGGCCTGGCAGCCAAACTGGTTGAGACAAGCACTTGGAGGGCACAGGCAAAAGGGGGCTGCGCCTCCAAGATGCTCCAGCAAGTGCAGTTCCAGAGGCAGAACACTCCTCATGGAAAGCTTTTGCTGCCACAAATTTAAGCCTTGGGCAGGGCGTTCTGACTGCTGAGGGTTGGCAGAAAAAAAATGCAGAAGCCAAGGACCCATCAAATGTTGGGTGGTTGGGAAAAGAAAGGGAAGGAGGTGTGGCCATCTGACCCAGAATGCTGGATTTGGCATCCTGTCTGTAGCTTGAGGTTCTGGATTGAGGCGCTGGTGGCTCAGGCAGTGGTTAACTGCACCCCACACTGTTGCAGTCCTGATCCAAGCTAGGGGCCTCTCCATCTACTGTTGCCCAGTTGTGTGAAAAACGATCTCAGAAGAGAAAGCTAACCAGCTCTCCTCCGTTTCCATGAGACATGGTGGAAATCCTTTGCTTCCAACAAAAATAAAATAAGCCTAGAGTGGCTAATTTATAGCAAATGGCCCAGGCAGCATTAAAAGCTGCACCTCAAGTGGCACTTCTGGGCTGGATTGTTGCTCCTACCTTCCCCCCCATCCCCCACACACGAACAGAAGTGTACTTGGGGGGCAGGGGGGGCTTGTGTGCACCTGCTTTCTCAGACAAGTGTAGCATCCATGGGGAATGCAGGGTCGGTACTGGGCCCAGCCTCCCCTTCCCTGAAGGAGCCCCCGGAGAGCAGCAGTCCTGATCCAGATGGACCAGAGGCCCGAGCCCATAGAGGGCAGCTTGCTGCATTCCATTTAGCCACAAGGACTGGTTTCAGAGGACGTGCTGCAGCCCGCCAGGAGAGCGCTGCACGTGCTTTGATGCAGCAGGCACCAGCTCCGTCTCTCCAGCTGTCCTTGTTCCGCTTAGCATAGCCGCCTGGGAGGCTGGTGTGCTGCACGGGGACGGCTGCAGAGACGCCATCCGAACAAGTGACGGGTGGCTGCAGGCGGCTTCCCTTTTGGAGTGTGCCCACCCAGCCTCCCAGAAAGAAGAAAAGGGCCAGGGGAAAATAGCCTGGGGGATGAATGAGGGTAGTGAGGAGCCTGTGGGTCCGAGTGCCTGAGCTTGGCAGAGCCTGTGCTGTGCTGGAAACAGAGGGCCAGAGGGTGGCCCAGCCTCATCCAGCAGGGCTGCTGCTGTCCTGCACCTGCACATCGCCAACAAGCAAATCTTGGTAGCTGCAGCCCCTGCCATGGGAGACCTGGATCCTGCCCGGAGAAGGAAGTGAACTTTGCTGTCATGGGGTTGCTAGAAAAGAAGGCTCTTCCCCCTGAGTGTGTGGCCTCGTGCCCCTCATATCCCTGCCCCTCACTTCTGCTGTGCTCCCTGCACCCCCAGTGTCTCCAGCCCCTTCCCACTTGCCTGGCCACCATCCAACAGTCTTCTCTCCTCCCTCCCTCTCCCTCCCACGCTGCCAGTGCCTGCTCCCAGAGATCCTGGCATTTGAGCCTGCCACTCCCCCACCCCCAGGAAGACGCTGCAGGGGCCAGGGTAGCAGAGAGCAGGCCAATGAGCAGGCGGTAGCGGCAACGCTTGTCCCAAGGTTGCCTGAAGGGCAAGGTCCTTGCTAAGAGATTCCAGTGGCTGGAGAAGGGTGCTGGGAGCAAGGGATGTGGGGGAGCCCTGCTGCATCCATCAAGGGTCAGCCAGGCATCCCGATGGAGAGGGTGGTCCCTGGACTGCTCCTGACCAAGAGCACTTCCATGGCTACCGCCGCACGGCTACATGACGGGGTGTGGGGGATGCAGCATCCCTCAGCACCAGCCAGCATGGCCCAGTGGGTCGTCCTGAGGGGCTCAGCTGCCCTGCCGCAGCTTTGCATGTGCAAAAGGCCTGCCAGTCTCCGGCACCTCCAAGCTGGGCCAGGAAAGGCTCGGGTCTGAGCCTAGCAGATCCTGCTTGCTGGGCAGTCGAGTCCAGAGAGCAGGGCCTGAGAGCTGAATTCCACTTTGGGAAGGGGGGCAGTGGGTGTGTGTGGGTGGTGGAGAGTGACAAATGCAAACAGGCAGAACCAAAGGCAGGGCCAGAAATAACCTATTTAGAGCTTTTGCCGCTGGTGGAGAAGCCTTAGAGGCAGCACTCTAACCTCTCAAAATGTGGAGCAGGACTCCACCATAGTCTCTAACAGCTGGGTGGTGAGGGACCCCAGTGGCTCGTTGTCTGGGCAGCAGTGGGGGAGCCCCAAGGATCTTTGCAGAAGGCTGCTTCCTGTTAAAATCATCGATTTAACTTGAACCACGAGGGCTGGCATCTTTCTTAATCTTGGGGTTACTGGAAATGAACGCTTGTCGGGGAAACCAGCAGTGCGTTCTAGAGAAAAGCTGACCATGTGCTGGGAGCCCCCCTGCTCTTTTATCCTTGATGTAACTGCCCCCCACCCGCGCACGTGGCGTCCTCGGTGGACCTGAGGGCTCTGGGAGATGCAGGCGCGATCCTTCGCGCGTGAACGCAGCCCGAGACAAGCTGCCGGGGGATGGGGAAACCTGCCTGCGGAGAAAGGGGGGCGGCCGCGCGCGGCTGGCGCCCTCCCATGGCCGCGGGCTCTGGGGCGCAGAGGGGCTGGCGAGCTGCCGCAACCTGCCGCACAGGGTCTGCCGACTCAGGCGCGACGCGCCAGCAGATTCACACACGGGCGTGTCTAAGCAGCGTCCGATTTCGCGCGCTGGCGTTCCTGGCTCCGGGCGCTCGCATGCCGCCTGCAATGCCGCGAAGCGGGCGAGAGGTCAGCGCGGATGCGGCCCGGCGAGCCTCGAGAAGGCGTACGTGGGCCCTGGCGCGCCGAGACAGCCGGCCGCCTCCGGCGTTGGGGAGGCCTATTACGGAGTCCGCGCACGTGCGGCGGCTGCTTGCAGCTCCGCCAGCCCCGCGAGCTCCCTAGTCGCCCCGCGGCGCCTCCATGCTGCGGGGACGGGAAGGCAAGGAAGCCCTCTCGCTCGGGCGGCAGCTTCCCCGCGCTTCTGCCCCTCTCCCGGGAGCCCGATCCTCCATGGCGCCGCCCCGCGCTCCAGTGCGTGCGAGCGAGCGAGCGCGTGGGAGGAACCGTGCAGGGCAAACGCCGGATATTTTTGGCGACGGGGATTCCCCCTCCCCTGTGCATTCAGGGAAGCCGGAGGCGTTGCAAACGAATTGTTGATCGCTGCGGCTCCTTTCTAAAGTGCATCATCCGAGACAGGGGAGGGCACAGGGGGGGGGCCCGCCCC